GTCTGAACAAAACTCTGGGGTTTCAGCGATGACTGATCTGAACGCCTCTGATTGGCTACTGCATTCCTAAACTCAACAGAATCGTGTGTGATTGGTTATAATGAGCAACGCTGTAAAAACGCGTAAAAATAAAATATGATGTAACATAAGCAGGTCTAAATGTAATACAGCAATCGAAACTTCATTCTAAGTATTAAAGTTTTATTGGAAAACCAGGGGACCCCCCAAGTATATTTTTTGGGGTGTTACAATTCGATCTCAATTCGAACACTGGAGTGTGTGTGTGTCTGTGTGTGTGTGTATCAGTGTGTGTGTGTGTGTGTGTGTGTCTGTGATTCTCACCATGTTCGGCTCTTGTCCCGGCTGACACTGTGGGCAGGGTTGGCAGCTGCTGATTGTGTAATTGTAAAATTCATTTTCTCCACAACTCAAGTATTCGGCACTCACAAAACACATGCTGGACACCTGCAACACACACACACACACATTTTAAAATACAAACACAAACTCACATTTGTGGCAGCTGTTATCTTTATGTATAGCAACTTGTTACTTCAGCTTTTTCAAGTTCATGTTGTCTGCTTATATAAGTACACTTGTGTATCAATGAGATCAAAGCTAACAGACATGAACTAAAGACACAAAACTATCAATTTGAAGGAAATCATCCAGGTCCAATTAAATGAGATCTGCATTTACACTTTACATTAGTCATGTTTCTGTATTCTGTGGCATACAGAAAGTCATGATTATATATATACATATATATATATAATGCTCTATAGTGTTCATTAGGTGTTTTAAGGTGTTCATAATGTACATTATAATTATAATGCATTATATCTTATATCTTTTAATAAACAATTGTAACCAAGGTTAAATAGATTATAACATTTGCATATTTGCATATTTTTTTGTTGCATCTGAAAACGGTTGTTTATCTTGTGTTTTAATGCATTATACTTTCTGAACAGCAACAGTGTTCAATGAACGGATACATATTATAATGTTTTATAACTGTGGTCACAATTATTTATGAGATCATACAATGCTTTATAATGTGCATATAATTAATGCATTAAAATACTTTTATAGCGCATTATCTATAAAGGTTTTAAGTATATGCATGACTGTTCAAGTGCATTCACAGCAACTTATTTGTTTAAAACATGCATATGCTTGTGCAATTTATGTTGTAGAACAAAACACAAAAGTCTCTTCTAGTGATTTTAACTACAGGCCTTATTTTACAAATCCAATGTTCTTAAAACAAAGAGGAAAACTTTGTCCTTCCAGGTTCACCTATAAACTTACATCAGTGTTTTAAACAAACAAACAAACAGCAGAAAGAAATATTTTCCGTCCATCTTCCCAGAAGAGAAGGACTAATATAAAGTGAAAGTGTGAAGGTGCTGATGTAATAAGGAAACGGTTGAGTGTAGGTTCAATTAAAGAATTAAAGCTGAGAACCACAAAGCATCTCATTCAGCCCGAGCCAATCAACATCCGGCTCCGCCCACTCGCTTAATTACATTCCTGCTTGAGTAACGAACCGGCGGAGAGCTGAAATGCCTGTGTGCATGTTGTTTCACCTCGATTCATGCAGTGAACATGATTTACGTCTGAGGAAATGAATGTGGAGAGAGACATGATGACTGTGAGTTTGGTTTGGAAGCACAATACGCTTGTGTGATTGTAATTAGATCACAACAGATCCGAATCATGCATCTGTTCTCAATCGCAGACACAATTACAAATGCACTGTAATGCAACAGACAAACCATGCATCATGTGCTGAATCAAACCTTTTGACTCATTTTGAGCTGCTGATTCCAAATAATAGTGTCTGCTTTGCTGCTTCACGTCACACTTTCGTCAAAAAAAAAGCTTATTTTGTGAAGTTCTTTGACATTAAATTTGTATTTGAAGATATTTTTCCACTCCTTTGAGGATTTATAGTTAAATTAAGCATTTGTGATATTATGATATGCACAATATGATTTATGATACATACATATAATTAGAATTTTTTTAATTTTGTGACAAATATTTGATGGATTTATTTTTTTCATTGATATTTTTGAACAGAATTGGGTAATATTTTTTATTTTTTTGCAAATCATCAGAATTAGAAAGAAAATGCAAACATGAGCCAGATGTTTATTATAATTAACTAAAACTAAAAACATATGTCACCTTGAAAAAATATGTTTTAATGAAAATAAAAATCATTTAGTTTAACTTGATTTACTAAAATAACTAAAACCAAAATAATAATGAATAAAAACTATATGGACATATTTAAAGAAAACAAAAACTAATATCAATGACAAAAACGCAACAAAAGTACTAAAACCTTAACTGAAATGAAAATGAAAAATGAAAATGTAAAACTAAAAATGTATTCAAAATATTAATAAAACCATAACAGTATCTCAATATGACACTAAAATAACATTGATTTGACTACATCCAAACAATGATAGAAAAATACAGATTTTGTGGAAAAAGGCTTATTTAAAAACTTGTGTTTATGTAAAGTCCTTTGGCATTAAATAAGCTATTTTAATATATATTTTCCACTCCTTTGGAAAAATAGTACATTTAAAAAAAAAAGTGAAGTTTTTGACATTTGACCTCTTTTGTTCTAAGTACATTAATGCTGATACATATGCATAATAACTACATATACCTACTTATTTTGTGATTAAACCTACATGATGGGATGTTTTTAGTCATATTTTTAACTCAAAATCATCAAATTACAGTAGGTAATATCAGGCGTTTTTTGTCTAATGAAGATGCTTCACTTCTGCAAGTTAGATTATGAAGCGCACTGCATGCACCAGTAAACATTTGTCTGATTGTGTCTAACGTTGACTTGAGTTGGTTCTAGATCATTAGACGTGACATTACGGTGCTGTGAAGCAGCACATTTGCAGCCTTTTTTCCTGGCTCTATATATAGAGAATAATGCTCATTATGGAGCGGCAGCAGTTTTCTCTTCAACAAAGGCTGAATTGACACTGAGGGCTGATTTAGCCGTAATAAGCGGGATTACACAGATCTGCTCTCCAGAGCGTCTCACTCGCAGATAACCTGTCGTTTGAACATCTCACGGCTCTTTGGAAGGGCATTAAAAGCCTATCATTAAGACGCTGTGCAGAGAAATTACCTTCTGGGAACGCAGCCAGACAGATTTGGTGTTGCAAACACGAAGGAGGTGGGAGACGTGTTCAGAGACAGATTAACATGCGCTCAAAGACGCCTTTGTAGTCGACGTGGCCCGTGTTTGGATGGGCTGGATGAGGGACTTACCAGCAGAAGAGGCAGGAGGTGTGATCGTTTCCGTCCTCCGTTCTGGCCCATGTTGATGCTGTTGTTGTCTTCCACCTGAGGAGCTCTGAAACGAGAGCATGAACTGTGGGAATCGAGCGAAAAACGGTGTTCTTCCTCAGTATTTCTGTCTTGTTTTCCAGTACAAACATATAAACATTCCTAAATCAA